TAAAATTAAAATATAAGATATTAAGAATAAACTTAATAAGAAGTTCGAAATAATCGATTTAGAATTTTATATCTATTATCTTAATATAATAGTTATTAAAGATTATATTAATTAAATTCTATATTTTAGCTAAAAAGATTATATTAAAAAGTTTTTAAAGAAATATAATATATTAAGCTTTATATTATTATCTACTCTTATTAATAGCGATAAGTTTTATATTATTAAAGATAATTTTATCTTTATCGATTAATCTTATTATATTTATTAGTTAATTATAAAATTATTTATATATATAATATTAAATATTTAACTTAATATCGTATTCGCCGTTTTAATAAACTTTAGATATATTTTAAATTTCGATAAATTTTATTAAAAGACTATTAAGCGTATCTTTTAATATTTAAATAATATTAAGAATTAATAATTAATATTTAGAGGAGATTTAAAATTATTTATTAATTATATAAATATGAATTAGATAAGTAATTAAGATATTTAATATTTTATTTTTAATTATATTTTTAATATAAATAGTATTACTATTAATTAGTTATCGAAATAATAATCTATTATAACGCTATTTTTTTATAAGATTAAATATATTAATTAGATATAAGCTATTAAAAAGATAATTTAATTATATAAACTTTTTAATTAATTTAATTTTAACGCTAAGTATATATAAATTATTATTATTTATTATAATAATTAGAGTACTATAATTCTTATTAAAAATTCTTAATTTTATATATATATTAAGTATATTAATATTTAGTATTATTATATATAAGAATAAGTTATTATTAATATTATTATTTTTAAATATATCTTTATTAAATAATAGATAATTAATAAACTTATTAAGATATTATTTAAGAATAAATTTAAGAAGTTTCGTATATTAATTAAATTAAAATATTATTTATAATATTATCTATTTAGGGGAATTAACTTTAACTTTAAAGAAGTTATTTTATTAATCTTCGTAGTTTAAGTAATTTATTTAAACCGTTCATCGAGTCTTAGATTTAATACTCTATAAACTCGCTATTCTATATTAAAATAGCTATTTCTTTAACGCTATTATCGCTATCGCTATTAAATCTTTAAAACTCTTTTAAAATATTCTATCTATACTACTATTATTATTAATTATTATTATTAAAAAATTAGATATCTAAAATAACTTTATAAAAGCTTTATAATCGATTATAATATATAAAATAGAGAATTTCTTTTAATTATTTTATTTAGTTATTCTTATAAATATTCTTCGACTTTAAATTAATCGATTTTTAATATATACTAGATAGCCTAGAAATAAAATTTTCGAAAAACCGTTTTTTAATAAAAAGTGGAATTTAAGGGTTTAATATAGTCGTTTTTAGATTTTAAATTTTTACTTTAGTTATTCGACGTTAAACTTACTTTAATTATTTAGCTCGAACTTTATCTTAATTATCTAGCTCGAACTTTATTTTAATTATCTAACTCGAATTTTATTTTAATTATCTAGCGCTAAACTTATTTTAATTATTTTATTTAAACTTTACTTTAATTATTTAATATTAAATTTACTTTAATTACTTAACTCGAACTTTACTTTAATTATTTAACTTAAACTTTACTTTAATTATTTAATATTAAACTCTAGCGAAAATCGATTAAATTATTTTTATCTTATCTATCTAATTTTAATATCGTTAATATTAAACTTCGTATTTATCGAATTTCGCGTATAGAAGAATATATACGAAGAAGAATATTAAAATTCGAATTATATAACTCTTAGCGTCTTAATAATTATATAATATAGTTATATAATACGCCTTAGTATATTCGTATCTAGTCGCTCTTTTCTTTTATAGAACTTAATAGTTAATATAACTAAGTGTTCTACCTCATATTTTAATAAGCTCTCTTATTAAAAAAATAGATATACGTTATTAACATATAGAATAACTTTTTTATTTTCTATTAAAACTTAAAGATTTTTTTTTTAAATTATAGAACGAAATATGGGCTTTTAGATAAAAAAAAGAATTTCTAAATTAGTCTTATAATTATTAAAGCGTAAGAAATTCAAATATCGCTTATTAAAGTTCGCTTGACAGCTCTAATTAAAAATAGATGTATATTATTTAATTTGAGAATAACTTTTTTGTTTTCTATTAAAATTTTATAATTTTTCTTTTCAATTATAGAACGAAATGTAGGCTTTCAAATAAAAAAAGAATTATTAAATTTAGTCTTATAAATGTTTAAAGGCAACGAATTTAAATATCGCCTATTAAAAGTTCGCTTATTAAATTTACTCGACAGCCCTAATTAAAAAAAATAGTTATGAATTTAATTTATAGGCCTTTACTCGTTCTTTTATATTAGTATATATAAAAGAATAAGATAGAGCTAAGCTATAAAACCTTGAATTTGTATATGTAGCCAATTATAAATTTAGGGTCACTACGCTCTTTGGCTAGACCGGCTGAGTTATTACGAGTAAATAAATTAGCGTTCGTAACCATCAAAATCTCGCCCTCCCGCGTCTCCCTTATTAAAAAATTAGGGTACGTTATTCATAAATAGAATAACTTTTTTGTTTTTCATTGAAATTTTGAAATTTTTTTTTAAATTATCAAATTATAAAGCGTTATTTGCGCTTTCCCAATTTTTAAGAATTATAAAATTTGGTCTTATAATTATTAAAGCGCAAGGAATTCAAATATCGCTCACTAGAGTTCGCTCGACAGCCGGACAGCCCTAATTAAAAAATAGATACACATTATTTGATTTTAGAATAACTTTTTTGTTTTCTATTTAAATTTTGACATTTTTTTTTGAATTATAGAACGAAATGTGTGCTTTTAGATAAAAAAAGAATTTTTAAATATAGTCTTATAATTATTAAAGCGTAAGGAATTCAAATATCGCTCATCTGTTTACTCGATAGCCCTAATCAAAAAAAAAATTATGAATTTAATTCATAGGCCTTTACGGAGGGTGATATTAAAAGTTCTATATATATACTAAATCTCTTAGCATACTTAGCAAATATTCTGAATATTTTAAATATTCTTAATATTACTACTTTTTACTTAATAGCGATATTAATACTATATATACGAGGTATATATATATAAAGTATATATATACGAAGTGTATACGCGTTATAGCGACGTTATAGCTATATATAAAGAGTATATTTATTAAATTACGACGTTAATACTAAACGCACTAATCTATAAGAAAAGAGGGAGAATCTTAAGACTTTATATTATATATAAAGTTCTTAATATAGCTATAAAAAATAATCCTCTCTATATTCTCTATATTAAAATATTTATAGATAAAGCTTAAGCTATTAATTATAATAACGATATCAAATTTTAGATACTTACTTTAGCCGAAGCTAGCATTATAGCTAAAATTATTACTACTATTACCAAGATCTCCCGCTTTATTATTAATCATCTATAGAAATAAATTTATAATAGAAAATTTAATCTTAGTAAGTCTTAGAAATTACTACTATTATATATAAGTAATATATCGAGATCTAAACAATTCTTAATTATTATTTCCGAGGTTAAGAGTGCTATTATAGTCGCTATACGAAGAGATTACTATAATTATAAGAAAATCTCATTTATATTAGCTACTAAATAAGAACTCTTATTAATAATAATTCTATATATACTTAAACGAAATAATTTTCAATTCTATAAGATTATTAAAAAACTCTCTCTTACGAAAGCTATAATAAAAGCTTAATATTAATTCGCTTTATAATATTAAGACTAGATTATAAAGAAGTAGAAAAAGATAATTTAAAGTAATAAAATTAGTATAATCTTGAATTCTTAATAGAGAAAAGTGCGTATATAACGGTAATTCAATGAAATCTTATTAAATCTACTATATAACGTCGTTTCGTAAATACTATAAAGTTTATATTCTAGAATTATTTCTCATATAATAAGAAGAAGTCGTATTATATTTAAAAAGTCGAAATTATAGCTAAAAAGAAAGAATATATCGCGAATCTCGCTAAAATTAATAATACTCTAAAAGCTAAGACTAAAGAAGCTTAAGAACTTAAGATTAATATATAATAAATAGGTTTACGAAATCTTTCTAGCAAGAAACCCGAGTGGAAGTTTACTATTAAGATTAGAAAAGTTATTATTAAGGGGAAGAAGAGGGGAATTAATTAGTATCGCTACCAGAAAAAAGTATATATACTTATATTTCTTATACTTCTCCTTCTTACTAGATATAGATTCTTATTTTAAAACTTCTAAAATTCGCTTAGGAGTATAAATAAGAGCGACTTAATATAATAGTTATAGAAAATAAGATCTTAATCTATATATTAAAGTATTAGAAAGTAATTTATATATTAATAAATATTATTCGAATACTCTAATACGATAACTCTTCGGATCTTAATATAATTAAGCTTTATTAACTATAAATAAAGCGTTAAATTATTCGAAAAGATATATTAAGAACTTATAAAGATATTAAGAAATAATAATTATATTACTAAAATTACGAGCTTATATAAAAGAGGATTTAGAAGTAAATAGAGTAAATATCGAGATATATTGCGAAGGTTATTCATCTTAAGAGCGATAATAAGTATAGAGAAGGTCGTAAAAAAGGTAATATACGATCTTATAACTCTACGAAGTAAGTAAATAAGTATATACGTAGCTATATAAAGCATCATCACTAGAAAAATAAAGCTATTCAAGAAAAAGGTCAGATTTATCAAAATGCCAAGCATGCCAAGAGATTTAGCGCATGTGCAGGACTTTTGGTGCCACCCTCCGTACTCGTATACTGATAATAAGGGAGGTCTAACCTAACGTCACGTGTCGTATGATAAATCCGCATCCCTACTCCAGCTAGCTTGGTATTCAAGGGCTTGTTGCTTGTCTGGCTGATATCCCTGAGCAATGTCGGTCAATTGTGGAGTATGTGACACCCACATGGCTAGGTATAAATGCCCGTCGTGTCAACTACAATAGTACGTACATGGGATCATTTTTGTGCGATCACACAGGCTGAAACCTCAAAGCTGCTCTATTGAGTGCTACAAGAGACACCAGATCATTCACGCTGGTTTACTATCCCTCGTCGCAACTCAGTTGGTTCCGAATGGCTTGCCACCAAAGCCCCCAGCAGCAGTAGCATTCACCGGCGCGCCAAATTCTCATGTTCATGGCGGTGGGCCTTCATTTGAAACATGTTCACCGTCTTCTCTTGAGTCATCTGCCAATCTTCAAATACTATACACTCGGTATCCTCAACTACAAGATCAGCTCAAAGAGATATACGAAGCCGCAACCGAACCTCGGGATGATCAGTTGAACGACCAATCATTCAGCAATGATCGTGGTGATCGAGGAGCTGGACGAGGAAGAAACAGGAGACGGGGTCGTGACGGTAGAACAGCGGAAACGTGGTCTCGACAGAAAGGGATCAAGTCTGGCATCAACCGGTTAAGAATACTGAGGCATCTCAAAGGTGAAGATGGAGATGGATTGAGAGAATTCTCCAAGCTTGTTACAAGCCATTTCGAAGCCAAACGCTCGACAACTAGATTGCCTGCAGCTTGACAGAAATGCTCGTAGAAAGCAGTTGACCATGTCAATGCTCAAAAGATTTGTACCCCAACAATAGCAAATTCTCCAGGCAGCGTGCCTGGGGTAGAGGCTGGACATACGTCCATAAGAACTTAGTGGGTGGGAAGGCATCGGTGGATATAGCGGTGAGGCTGATCCCTGTGCACGCTTGTACTACCAGTCTCAAAAGTCCGCAGTTGGCAAGGCAAGGAAGGCATCAGCCTCATCAATCAAGCTTCGATGATGACTTCATCTGTTCTGCATGATTAAATCGACTCACGACATTCGATAAACCCTTGTCCACGAAATTGAACAAGGCATCTCACGCCGCGGACGCCTCGCTAAATTTCTGTAAAAGCAGACACTTCATGTACACATGATAATTCGCGCTCTTGCCAGTGCTACTCCCATTCGTCATCGTCCCATGACCTGACTCACATCCTGCTCGTCGCGGTCAGGATCAAGTGCTGCTCACAGCAAATAGCTTGACAAATCATAGTTCGTGCGACTTTCACCGTTGGAACCAATTGAATTTTTTCTTGGTGCTTTCTCCGAGACCTTGCCCCTCTAGTTGTATGCTGCGCTCATAAAGCTCCTTGAAGCTTCCAGGTCAGCCTCAGATTCCAAAGGATGCAGGCATCTGCAAGTTGTTCAATGAAATAACAAGTCTTGCAAAGTTGGGCAACTCAACGCTCAGGACATAAGCATTGGCTTAGCAGAAGAGGAGCAGAAAATATCAGGCTTACATCTTCATCCTCGCAAAACCGTCCATCGAGGACTAACCGCTGCACCTCTTCATTCTTGTTGATCGTTGGATATGGGACCTCTTGACTTTTCTGAATGCCTATGATCACCTCCCCCATGATCTCAAACTTTTTCCAATTGATGCGCTCGCCTTCTGCACCGACGACGTATGTTCGGTTGCCTTGCTCAGCAAGAACAAGATCTCGTAGATGAAGCGGGAGAAATGGGATGCGCTGAGTTGGAGTATTGGTCCAAGCTAAGCGATATGCAGAGTGACTCTTTTGGGATCCCATGAGTATTTCGAGGCGCATAAACTGTTTCTGCGCCGGTGCTGGGATAAGCTCTCTGGTCTGCGCTAACCGATGCACCGCTATGCTATTTATCCCAGAGATCACTGCTCCAAGAGAATTGTAATTATTCAGGTAACGCAATTTCCATGCTATACTCATAAACTTCTCCAGGGCTCTTGCTCTGTGCTTCGGCTTGTCGCGAAGAAGTATGACATTGGCGACCCAGAAGGCGACGTGATTGAATTGGTGTATCATTCTATTGAAGTGCTCGAGGCTCTTGCACTTCTCCTTTTGGTCAATCGCAAGACTCACGTGTCTTATAAGATCGCGTGGTCTGATAGAACAATACATGACCCAGTCAATACGTGTGAGTTCTCGGGCAATTTTCTCTTCCGGAATTTCCATGAATTGATGCCACTGGACCTTTGTGAGCGAATTCCGAGGTATTGGAGTCAGGAGCTGTGCTTGGCGCTGGGCATTTTCCAGTGTGTTGAGGAGTGTCTGGAACGAGCCGTTAGATTGGCTTTCTGATCTACTATTGCTAGGCACGAATGATGGTGGCCCTGAGATCCTAGCAGGCTGAGCTTTCTCTGGTCCTATGTGTTCGACGACGTCTTCCGTAGACGAGTCTGCTGTAAGCGTGGGAGAATCTGCGTTGAGCGTCGAGGCCGCGCTTTGAACAGAAGACATGGTCAGAAAGCTTTCCGTCGTGTTTGCACGACTTCTACTTTTGTCAGAGCATGCCCATTGGGTGTCATCATCATCTGCAACCACATCCAAATGTGGGCTTATCTCTTTGCTAGGGATGGCGTACTCTGGAAACGCCGCCAAACCCTGCACAAAAATTGTAACCAGCCGACGGGTCAGAGGGTGAGCAAAGTCACCGGGGTAATCCGAGGCCCAATCCCTAAGAATGTTGAGATACCTCAGCTGCGAAGTCTTTCGGTTTAGATGGGGAAGGTCCCGGTCATTCAAACCCTCGAAGCGATGGACAATGGCCTTGATCAATGAAGAAGGCGGAGCGAACTTCCGATATAAACACAAGAAGATGGCTGCAAATTTCGAATCTGATTTCGACATAGGCTGTGCCAAAAGCCTATCCACTAAATCTTCGAAAGTGACCCCTAGATCCTTGGCGTCGTCATCTTCCGTCTCTGCATATTTGCTGTTCTGAGCGCTGAGGAGATCTTTAGCTGCTACGCTGCTTCCTTGGCCGCCGCGGCTACCTTGGAGGGGATCCGAAATAATGTTTGATGTATCCGAAGCCTGACCCTTGATTGGTACATCGAAATGATTTGGAGGAAGATCTCCTGGATCTAGATCTTCCATGCCCCTAATAGGCGACACAAGTTCATCACCGCTGTCGTCTGAGGACTTTCGTGAGTCGCGTGACCGGTCGCTACGAGGAAATACTTCTGAGTCTCTGCCAGTACTTGTTGCTCTTCTCGAGGATCCGGCCTGAGAGTCGATGGTCGTGGTGGTCCTGGGTAATGGTGACAATAGTGCGACTGGGTCCATATTTCGCGCCACAGAATTCGACACTTCGGAAGCAGCTCGGCCATGCTTGCTCTTTGCGCGAGCCGGATGTAACGAGTGGCGTGTATCGCTAATAATTGTAGTATGTGTGGTTGTTAAAGCCCGAGATCGTGTAGGGCACTTTAATGTGTGGGATTCTTTTGACCTAATTAGTCATGCCATACGGTATCATCACATGTCACGGTGATTCGAAGCAGACCTATAAAGATGGTCTAAGCAAGTGAAGGAAGAAACTCACCGCGCCTTTTCAACATGATATTACGCAAAATGATAGAGATGCATCTTTTGTGTGTCTCAGGTGCAGATAAGGAGACCGGAAAAGACTCGATCCCCGTGCCAGGACTGCAAAGCTCCTGTACCATGTCATGATCCACCTCCCAGGATCCGCGTGGACTATCAGACTTGGCAGATACGAGTACCGTGGGAATACCGTCTTTGGACAACGCTTCTAGAGACGGCGTGTAATGTAAGCTACTGCTTATTTCTGACCCATCATCCCTGGAGCACCTGGAGCTGATTCCCATCTCTTCACTGTGTCACTTGGAAGGAAGGACTGCCGACGCCCGAAAGACTCACTTAGTAATGCTGGGATGTGAAATATACTACCCTGGTCCATGACATTGTACAGAGCCAACACTCCATCAATGATCGGCGTGTTATGGTCTCCAACTTTCGTAGGCCAGAGTACATTCTGATTCGCCGTGATTTCCACATCTCCGAAGCCCAACTCAAGCAGTCTAACAACTGATATTTTACCCTCCAGAGATACCTTTTTGCTGGAAACGGGTGATGTGGACGCCTTTTTGAGATCTAACGAAGAACGCACAAAAGTCGACTTTCCGACGGCTGGAGCACCCAGTACCGCAAGGGTAACTTCATGAACACCCCCAGCCTTCGCACAAGGGTCAGCAAACTCGCTCATCTTTTATCAAGTTTAGGACATCTTTACGCGGCCATTGCTGCCGTGGCGCTGTACATGCCCTGCAGATTCGTTCGAGATTGGAGCTGAAAGCGGCCCCCAAAGCCTTGAGCCAGGTTCCGAAGTCTGACTTTCCCTCCTGGTCTTGCCTGCGGACGTCTGTTGGGAAGTCCTTTGCCGCTGTTGCTCTTCACTTTGAGGTACTCCCAAGGGTGCAGATTTTACGCGCTCTCTGTACAATGGACGCGCCAGTGAGCTTGGACTTGGTGGGTTCTGAGATGTTAGCAAGCTTCTAGGAGCTCCTCCGTAGGACCTGGTCTTTTTTGACGATTTTCGCCCCTCCATTACAAGGATCGGGTCAGCGTGGTTTGGAGCATCCTATCGAGCCCGGCATAGAAGTACGTGGACCCTGGGGAAGACCTCAAGCTTCAAATTGGTGATTTCGGGAGCTACAAATTGAAAGCCTGAAACAACAACGCGTGAGGATCTTCGCAATCATAGAGTCTTGCGGACATGGTAGCAAGATCAGTGTTACTTGGGTGGTTTGCGGACTGCGGTCATGGATGACCGTCTCAGTCAATGTAACCCTAATTCATTACTATCTAAACTGCTTTCGGAGCTCCGGGAGTGGAGTACTGTGGTGGAAAGCTCTAATTCTTCGAGAACTCTCTAAAAGCTCTTCGAGAGATACTATCGAATAAGCTATCGAAGTAAATTCGAAATACTATAAATAAAGATTTCGAGTCTACTTCGATAATCATTCGATAGTAATAATTAGAGAGCTCTTAGAGAGTTCTTAAATAATTAAAGTAATTTAAAGTATTTAAGTAATTCTAGACGAAGATTCTCTAAATCTAACTCTCTTCGAAGGCTCTTCGAGAACTTCTATCGAAGAGACTCTTCTTAGAAACTTAATAATTCTATATATCTAGAATTATCTATATTAATAGATAAATTAAGAGAGTTATATATTATAGTTTTTTACGTTTTTTACGTAAATAACTATTTAGCTTATATTCTTACTTTTAAATATAATTTTAATATCTCTATTAAAATATATTATTTAATTAAGTTAAAAGATTTATTAAGACGAGAAAAATCTATCGAGATTTAATAATATATATATTCGTAATACTCTCTATAGTTAAATCTAATTAATTAAATATTTTATCTATTACTTTTAATAGATTATAAATTTAAATTATAGAGTATTTATTTAATATATTATTTATAAATTAGTTAATTTATTAATTAAGTATTTAAAGAATAAAGAGAAGCTTTATTATAATATTATATCGTCTAGTAATATTATTATAATATTAAATATTTATTTTATTTATTTTAGAATAACTCGATAATACTTTTTAAGCTTTATAAATCTTTAAATTATAAGTTATACTTATTATATAATAGTTATATCTTTTCCAAAAATCTTATTACTATTATCTTTAATTATTAAATTAGAATATTAGAGATTAAGTATTTAATTAACTAAAAGTTTTATTATATTAATTAATTAATTAATTAAATACTTTAAATAATATTAATTCTATTTATAGAATATTAAATCTAGAAATAAAAATAATTAATATATTAGTATATATAATAGAATAAGATAGAGCTAAATTAGAAAATCTTGAATTTATATATATAGCTAATTATAAATTTAGAATTACTACGCTCTTTAATTAGATCGGCTAAGTTATCGCGGGTAAATAAATTAGCGTCCGTAACTATCAAAATCTCTTATTCTACTTTTAACCCTTTAAAAACTTTACTATTTTCTATTAAAATTTTGAGATTATTTTTTTAAATTATAGAGCGTAGATTGCGCTTTTGAATGCTTTAAGAATTTCGAAATTTAATCTTATAATTATTAAAAGGCAAGGCATTCAAATATCGCTCACCAAAGATCGCTCACCAAAGACCGCTCACCAAAGACCGCTCACCAAAGACCGCTCACCAAAGACCGCTCACCAAAGACCGCTCACCAAAGACCGCTCACCAAATTTACTCGACAGCCCTGATCAAAAAAAACGGTTATGAATTTAATTCATAGGCCTTTACTCGTATGAAAGAATAAGGTAAGGCTGAACTAGAAAACCTTGAATTTGTATATGCAGTCAATTATTAATTCGGGGTTATTACGCCTTTTAGCTAGACCGGCTAACTTATCGCGGGTAAATAAATTAGCGTTCGCAACTATTAAAATCTCGCCCTCCCGCGCCTCCCTTATTAAAAAAATAGATGTATATTATTAACATATAGAATAACTTTTTTGTTTTCTATTAAAATTTTAAATTTTTTTTTAAAAATTTTGAAACGCTATTTGTGCTTTTCGAATTTTTAAGAATTTCGAAATTTAGTCTTATAATTATTAAAGCGTAAGGAATTCAAATATCGCTTATTAAAGTTCGCTCGACAGTCGAATAGCCCTAATCAGATATACATTATTTGAAATATAGGCTTTTAGAAAAAAAAAGAATTGTTAAATTTAGTGCTATAATTATTAAAGTATAAGAAATTCAAATATCGCTTATTAAAGTTCGCTTATTAAAGATCGCTTATCTACTTACTCGATAGTTCTAATTAAAAAAATAATTATAAATTTAATTTATAGGCCTTTACTCGTATTATTATAAAAGAAATAAGATATATCGTATATAAAAAATAACTCTTATTTTTTAATTAAAATATAATTATACGAGTAAAGGCCTATAAATTAAATTTATAATAAAAATAGAAATAATATTATTATAAAAGAAATAAGATATATCGTATATAAATAATAACTCTTATTTTTTAATTAAAATATAATTATACGAGTAAAGGCCTATAAATTAAATTCATAATCATTCCTTTTAATCTTTAATAAGCGATTTTTAATAAGCGATATTTGAATTTCTTATCTTTGAAGAATTAGAAGATTAAATTTGAAAATAGTTTTATATATAGAAAGCGTAAATTGCGATCTATAATTTGAAAAAAAGATTTAAAAATTTTAATAGAAAATAGTAAAGTTATAAAAGAATTAAAGATAGAAAAAGAGATTTTAATAATTACGAACGTTAATTTATTTACCCGCGATGTCTAATTAAAAAGCGTAGATCTATCGAATTTATAATTAACTATATATATAAATTTAAGATTTTCTAGCTTAGCTCTATCTTATTCTTTTATATATACTAATTAATTAAATAGATTAAAGCGAAATATCTTTATTATTACGAATTTCTTTATTAAACGTCTCGATTAAATCTAAAATCTTAATACTATAGAGACTTCTTTTACTATAGATCTATATTTATAGAATTATTATACTATATATATATTATTTATATATTTAATTTTACTTAGAATTATTTCTTAATATTTATATTACTATTATTAATTACTATAATATCGAGTTATCGAATTAATAATCGAATACTTAATTAATAAAGAATATAAAGAGCTTTTAAGTTTTTTATCTAATATAAACTTTATATCTATTTAATTATCTTTAAATTTAATTATATTTTAAAAATAAAAAGATCTAATTATACTAGTAATTGATAGCGACTCTTATAAGAACTCTATAAAGACTCTATAAGAGTTTTATAAAGATTCTATAGAAGTAAGTATTTAAATTTAAATAGTAGTATTTAATTATTAAGTATAAATATTCTCGAGACTAGTCTTTTTTAACTAATTTATTAATACTAGTTAAAATAGTATTTAATATTATAAATATAATTATTATTAATACTTCTTATAATTTAAAATTACTTTAAAAATTACTATAGATTATTAGCGTTTATTATTTTTTAAATATTTTTTAGAAATAATTATTATAAAAGTATAAGAAGATATAATCTTAATAAGATATTTACTTTATTAAGTAAATAAGTTTATTAAGTAAATATCTTATTAAGCTTATTATTATAAATAATAGATTTCTAAATAATAAATATTAAGCTTATTATTAGTATATATAAAAGAATAAGATAGAGCTAAGCTTAAAAATCTTAAATTTATATATATAATTAATTATAAATTTAGAGTTACTACGCTTTTTAATTAGATCGACTAACTTATCGCGAATAAATAAATTAATATTCGTAATTATTAAAAAAATAGATATACGTTAATCGTATAAGAATACGCTATACTTAATATAAGCTATTCTAACGCTAAGACCGCCTTAATACTAATTTTTTAAATTATTCTATCTATTTACTCATATATATATTTATTTAAAACTACTATAATCTATTTTAATCTTTTTAATTACTTTAATCTTAATTAACTTTCTAATTCTTTATATAGTAGTCTTAAATTACTTAATATTCTTATTTCTAAATATATTATATACCCGAGACTCTTTAATATTTACTTACTTTAAAGTTCTTAAAGTTCTTTTAATTTTTATTTCCTTACGTGTAATAATCTAAGATCGAGCCTAATAAGAATAATAATATCTCTCTTTTAAATTATTATATTAATTTTATTTTTCGAGTTACTCGAGCTATTATAGCTCGTTAAATAATATCTAATTCTCGCTTAACGAGTAGATTTAAAAAAAAATATAACTTTTATAAATATCGAACGATAATAAGATATTCTCGATCTATCGAGTCGTTATATATATTAATAAAGAATTTATTTTTTAGAATCTATAGACGCGTAAGAGTAACTATCTTTAAGAGAGATCTTATTATAGCGATATAGAAGCTAATTATAAGTTACGTTAAATTAAATAATTAATTAAGTAACTTTAAACTTTATTTTAAAGATAATAGAGACTAAGGTCTATTAAATACGTTTTTAAATAACGATATATAAGTTAGATATCGTTATAATTATAATAGATAGATAAGAGATAAATAAGTTAAAAAATTAAGAAAATTAGTATTAAAGTAGTCTTAGCGTTAAGATAGTCTATACTAAGTATAGAATATCTATTTACTTTAAATATTTTAAAATCTTATAATAGAGATAAAGATAAAATAGAGATAAAGAAGTAAAAATATTAATCGAGTTTTAGATCTATATTCTCTCTTAGTTAATATAAAATCGTTAATAAAGATTCTTAATAGATAGAGAGTATTATATATATAATATACGAAGTAATAATAAATTAGAGATAAGTATCTTTTATATAAATCGTCGTATATAAGATAGAGCTAGTAGCGATATATAGATAAATAATAATATAAAGAAAGATATCTTAATATCGATATAGATGAATTTAAAAAAAAATAATATATTAAATATAGATAAAATCGAAGCGGAGAAGATAGACGTAAAAATAGCGATTTTAATTAAACTTCTTCGTTAATATTATTATAAATATCGAATAATAT